AGCAGCAGCAGCAGCAGCAGCAGCAGCAGCAGCAGCAGCGCACTGTCAGTGTGGTGTATCTTGGCGATGCAGCCGGAGACACTTTCTATGGCTTTAAGTAGAAGGCTGGGGTGCTTCTCAACGCGTCTTGCTGCTGCTGCTGCTGCTGCTGCTGCTGCTGCAGGGGCTGCTGCTGCTGCGTCAGCAGCAGCAACCAGGACTGCCACATCTGCTGCTGCCAGCTGCACAGCAGCAGAAGAGCCGCAGCAAACAGCAAAAACTTCCCGCTGCAGTGCACTTTCCACAGGCTTTTGCTGCAGCAGGCAGCAGCAGCTTTCGGGGACAGACTGCAGCGCAGCAAGACACAAGGGACTCCTTTTGCTGCCTGCTGCTGCTGCTCCACCAGCTGCTGCTGCTGCTGCTGCTGCTGCTGCTGCAGGGGGTACCGTCACTATACGGCAAGCGCCCATTGCGAACTTGCGAGCAGCAGGAGCTTTTGCTGCTGCTGTTGCTGCTGCTGCTGCTGCTGCTGTTCGTGTAGCGCCTCCTTTTGCTGCTGCTGGTGCTGCTGCTGCTTGTGCTGCTGCTGGTGCTGTTGCTGCTGCTGCAGGTTCCGCAGCAGCAGCAGCTGCTGCTGCTGCTGCTTCCCCAGCTGCGGCTGCAGCTTCTGGAGAGGCAGCAGCGCCACTCGCAGCAGCAGCATCTGCCGCTGCTGCTGCATCTGCTTCTGCTGCTGCTGCATCTGCTTCTCCTTCTGCTTCTGCTGCTGCTGCCTCTGCTTCTCCTTCTGCTTCTGCTGCTGCTGCCTCTGCTTCTCCTTCTGCTTCTGCTGCTGCTGCATCTGCTTCTCCTTCTGCTTCTGCTGCTGCTGCTTCTGCTGCTGCTCCTGGAGTTGCCTCTGTCGCTGCTGCTGCTGCTGCTGCTGCTGCTGCTGCTGCTGGTGCATCCTCCTTCATATCTCCCTCTGTTTCTTCTGCTGCTTCTGACTCCTCCTGCTGCTCTTCTGCCTCAGCAGCAGCAGCAGCAGCAGCAGCAGCAGCAGCAGGTTCTTCTTCATCGCAGCTTTCTGATTCTTGCTGCTCGCTGCCGCTGTCTGTTGCTTCCTCTCCATCACTCTCTTCTTTGCTGCTGCTGCAGTTGCTGCTGCTGCTGCTGCTGCTGCCTTCTTCCTCGTCTGTTTCCTGAGCCTTGCTGCTGCGCTTGCTGCTGCTCCTGCTGCTGCTCCTGCTGCTGCTCCTGCTGCCGCTCCTGCTGCTGCTCCTGCTGCTGCTCTTGCTGCTGCTGCCGTCAGCATCTTCTTCCTCGGATTCTGCTGCGCTGCTGTCCCCTTCGCCTTCTGTCTCTTCCTGCTGCTGCTGCTGCTGCTGCTGCTGCTGCTCGTCCTGCTGCTCTTCCTGCTGCAGCTGCTGCTGCTCGTCCCCCGAGTCCTGCCCCATCTTGTGTCTGCTGCTGCTGCTGCTGCTGCTGCGTCCCTACTTAGAAACTGATGCGCATATGAACTCCCTTTAGAAAATCTGCAGCAGCAGCAACTGCTGCTGCTGCTGCTGTTGCTGCTGCTGGGTAACTCGCTGCAGCAGTGCCTGCAGCAGCGGCTGCGAATGTCCTAGCAGCAGCAGCTGCTGCTGCTGCTGCAGCAGCAACAGCAGCAAATTCTCCGCAGAGAAAACACAAGCCTATTCGGGAGACGGCCCAGAGCCTACTGAGTCTGCTGCTGCTTGTCTGGACTTTGCTGCTGCTGCTGCCTCTGCTGCTGCTGCTGCTGCTTCGGGGGCCTCAGCAGCGCTTGTTGCTGCTGCTGCTGCAGCAGTCTCACCTCTAAAAACGCGTTTCTTTCAAAAGCTGCTGCTGCTGCTGCTGCTGGGGCCTTGGCGCTGCTGCTGGGGCCTCGCGGCTGTCGCTGCTGCAGGGGCCTCGTTGCTGCTGCTGCTGCTGCTGCTGCTGCTGCTGCTGCTAATATATCTATACTAATTTACCTGCCAGTCTCTTAACTCAAAATATAAAAATGACATAAGGCAAAAAGAGTTGCGCGCGGCTGGGGTGTCTCCGCAGCCGCCTCAGGGCCTTAGTGAAGCCACTGCAGCAGCAGCAGCAGCAGCAGCAGCAGCAGCAGCAGCAGCAGCAGCACCGAGGCAGCAGCAGCAGCAACAAACAACTGGTTATGGCTGCCCCTTTTATCTCAATACTTTTGCATTGTTAAACTTTAGTTTAGATTAATAAATATATTTTCTAGCTTCAGCAGCAGCAGCAGCAGCAGCAGCAGCAGCAGCAGTTTGCTGCTGGAGAAGGTCCATGCTGCCTGTTCATACATACAGCCTGCAGCAGCAGCAGCTGCCGCTGCTGCTCCTCTGCCCTTGCTGCAGTACGACCAGCTATAGCAGCAGCAGCAACAACAGCAGCAGCAGCAGCAGCAGCATCTGCTGCTGCTGCTGCTGCTGCTGCTGCTGCTGCAGGTCCTTTTGTTACTAAAGTATGAGATATTGGGGTGTATGTACACCTGAAGGAGCCGCCGCCAGGTGCGGCGGTGGCTTTTCTGTTAATTTTCGGCGAATTTTCGATTAAAAAGTTTTTTAAAAACCCAAATTTAAAATAAAATCCAAAAGTCTCATTTAAATGGCTTTTGAAAGAGTTTTCCCGGCTCTAACAGCCTCGCGCTGCTGCTGCTGCTGCTGCTGCTGCTGCTGCAGCAGTCGCAAGGTCACGCCTCACTGCCTCGCAGCAGCATTTGTTCCTTCCTGCTGCTTTATTTTGTTTCACTTTTATTTATTTTGATTTTATTTTGATTTTATTTCTTTTTTATTTTATTTTAATTTCAAAAAATAGAAAAAGCGAAGACTTCTGGCGATCCAAACCCTAAACCCTAAACCCTAAACCCTAAACCCTAAACCCTCAGCGCCACTGCAGTTACCACTCTCCCCCCCAGGCCGCCCTCTTCGGGTTTTGCTGCTTCATTTGTTTTTTTATTTTTTTTATTTTATTTAAAAAGAATAAATAAATCTTTTTTAAAATAAATATTTTTAATTTAAATCTGAACAGAAAAAAAGCAGCAGCAAACCTGCAGCTGCTGCAAGTGAGAATACCCTAAGGGAGAAGCTACAACAGCCGCTGCAGCAGATGGCGGGCCCCCCAAACTTGACTGTTTGTTCAAAAGGTCCCTTAAAAAGGTATATTTGCATTTATTAAAAGCTAAATATATTTGCATTTATAAAAAGTCAAAAAGTCTAAAAATAAATAATAACAAAACTACTCTAATAACTTCTAAAGGACCCTCTTTGCTGCTGAGGGGCCCCTTTGGGGGCCCCCTGGGGCCCCCAGTATTCTTCTGGGGCCCCAGTACCCTCTTGGGGGCCCCCTGGGGGCCCCAGTACCCTTTTGGGGCCCCAGTACCCTCTTGGGGGCCCCCTGGGGGCCCTAGTACCCTTCTGGGGCCCCAGTACCCAGTTGGGGGCCCCCTGGGGGCCCCACACCCTCTATAGGGGCCCCCTGTGCCCTCCTGGGGGCCCCCAGCTGCTCTCTTTGGCCCTAGCTGCACTTCCTGCTGCTGCTGCTGCTGCTGCTTCAGCTGCTGCTGCTGCTGCTGCTGCTGCTGCTTTTTAAATGAAAAGGAATTGGAAGCAAATAAGTCGTTGAGGAAAAAAGAAAATTAAATTCGAGAATGGAAGAAGCCGAGCTGTACATACACTGGAGAAGTAAAAGAAAGCAGCAAAATGAAATTAAAATAAATTTTATTTTATTTTTTTGGCAGCAAATAAAAACTTGGAAATTAATTTAATTTAATTTAATTTAATTTCTTTTATTTTCATTGCCGAAACAACTCAATAAGTGCAGCAAATGGAAATTTGAATTATTCATTTATTATTTATTTTAATTATTATTTCCTTTTTTCTTTTTCTTTTTCTTTTTCTTTTTATTTTTATTTGTTTTATTTTGAATTGTCTCGAAGCCCTTTTGCTGCTTCTTTGGAAAAGATTTATTTTTATTTTTTATTTTTGTTTTTGCAAAAGGCCGAAAAGACAGAAAAGAGAAAAAGAAAAGAAACAAAAGAACAAAAGAAATCCAATTTAATGTAAATAAATATCTTTTATCTTTTTATAAAAGCAAAAAGACACAAGCAATTCAAAAGAAAAAGCAGTAGAGGAAGCAGCAGCAGTTGCTGCTGTCGCTGCTGCTGCTGTTGCTGCTGCTGCTGCTGCTGCTGCAGGTGTACAGACATCTGGGGCATGCGTGGCTTCCGAGACGCGCAGTGCTGTCCATTTGCATTCATTTATAATTTGCAATTGAAAATAAACAAATAAATAAACAATAAACAACAATTTATTTATAATTTATTTATTTGTTCTTTATTACTTGTTTTAATTCGCCAGCAGCAGCAGCAGCAGCAGTTCCCGCGAGTGCGCGAAGCGGCGCAGCAGCAGCAGCGCGCGCAGCAGCGCTGCTGCTGCTGCTGCTGCTGCTGCTGCTGCTGCTGCTGCTGCGCGCGCAGCAGCAGCAGCAGCGGGAAAGCAGCAGCAAGCGCAGAACTAAGTGGAAATGAAAGCAAATGAAGATTTAATTACTTTTAATTCTCCAATTTGACAAATAATTGAAGAATTTAATTCCAAAAATCCCAAAAAGCTGCTAAGAAAGCTCCCCCATTAGGCAGGTCTTGTCGGAGCTGGCGGAAGCCACAATGGGCTCCAGCGGGTGCAGATGTGCCTGATTCAAAGCGCAATTTAATTTAATTTAATTTAATTTAATTTAATTTAATTTAATTTAATTTATTTATTTTAATTAAATTGTTTAATTTTATTCAACCAAAATGCGAAAAAGCCGCTCAAATAAAAGCCCAAGGTGCAGCAGCAGCAGCAGCAGCAGCAGCGCAGCAGCAGCAGTTGCAGCAGCAGTAGCAGCAGCAGTAGCAGCGCAGAAGTAACGCAGCAACAGCAGCAGCAGCAGCAGCAGCAGCTTACATCGTTAACCGATCCTGTGTGGCCTGGCAGCCGGTAAATCAGCTGCTTCGTGCTGCTGCTGCTGCTGCTGCTGCT